GAAAAAATAGAAGAAAATAAGATATTTCACACCTCAAATGTCATATAAGGGGTTTTCGACCAATTTGAAAATGTGGAAATATTTGGCAATAGATTCATGCTATGGGAAGTATTACGCCAATAAACCTTTAAAAAAAATATGAGAGCGAGACTATAAATTGAATAAAAATAAAAAAAAGGTACTTGAATAATCTTAATCATCTAGAGGGAACCATTGTTCGAAAGTCCCAATTGAGAATAATTGCATATCATTCGTCAAGTTGCGGAATATTAAGGGGATCTAATGTGCTCTCATAATTATCCATTACCTTGTCAATTCTTGACTTATGGAGTTTTAAGTCATTAAGTAATAGGTTAGTCCACAATTTTACAGACGCTTACATAGATGCTGCGTGTAAATGCGGAAAGTTCGTATTACTGACCCCAAATTATCCTATAACAAATTAGTTTTAAACCTTTTAAAATGAACAAATTGATCCAAAACATTTTATTTTTGTTGACAATTAGTTTTAAAAAGTCATTTTTTTTTTTTAACTAAATTGTCGCTTGGCTCTTATTTGTCTAACATATAAAACTATGTGTTTTTTCAAAATACATATAAGTTTGAGATTACACTTGTTTTCCATGATGGTTGTGTGTGAATATTAAAATTTGAAAAGCTACTCCTCACTAAATTTTATTGTTGTTTTCTATCAATCACTAAAATTTATGAATGAGTATTGAGAGAGATGGCAGGATAGGTGACTTGTCCCCTTCAATATTGGCGAAAACTATTTATTCCCATAAAATAAAGCCTTCATTTTCGCCAAAACAAAGAAAGGTCAGCAAAAGATGCAAGTGGAAGGTAAGCAATAGTTTTCTGCCAACCACCCGCAGCCACGTGCAATATTTCAGAATTAATATTTTTTAAAAAACGTTTGGTTAATAATGCACGTGCGCATTTAAACTTTATTTAAATATAATCAAAGTGAAAGTGAAAGTGAAGCAGAGACGTCCGGAGAGTACACAGATGGTGCAATCGCACAAGGCCTCAATTTTGTATGGACAAAAAAAGAAAAAATTGTTACATGAAATAGACCATTTAAGTTTTTTTAATTACATGAAAGGAGCACCATTTTAAAATATCGCACGGAGTACCCAAAATCTCATGGTCGACCCTGTTAAGAAGGTGTGTTATTTGTTTGTTTTGCTATATTAACACCAAAAATTTGTTGAGTTGCATTACTTTTTAATTGCACAAAAAGTTGCAATCTTTTCTTGTTGTCATATCACTTCCTCTTTTATCGAATTATTATCGCCAATCTTTCATTACATTTTGTCCATGATAATGATTTATGTCTAAATATTTTTGTAGCATGCTTAGAATGAGAAACAAATGCTTTTGTTCATGTTCGTTCATTTGTAAATTTTACAAGTATGATACTTTTTTTTAATGGAAATTGTGATCAAGGACAAGTAGTTAATTGATGAAAAGTCGAGTATAAAAATGCGATAAAAAAAATTAGGAACATAAGTACGATAATGAGCAAATACTGGAGCCTTGCAAAAATCGTGCAACTTTAAAAACCGATATAATTCTCCTATTTGTTACTCTTTATAAAAATAATAGTAGGTGAAATGTTATTTTCAAAGCTTAATTACGCTATATAAGATGTATTTTGTAAATTTTTTAATGAAATGTTTTTTTCTTTTATATATTACTTCAAATATTTTTTCCCCATCTATAATTTAGATTCGGATAGTCCTCATGTTGTGAAAATCATGAGGTCCAATAAATAGATACGTAATTTCAAATGTGATCATACAATCAAAATTGAATAGTGGCGAAACTATCTGTAAATTTCTTATGTGACCACGTAAAGAAATATCGAGAAGAACATTGTGATAAGATTTCACATGCAACATGTTATGCACCACATAAAGAAATATAGAACATAAATGTTAATTGTCAAGTGATGCAAAAATCCAAACTGAAACGAAAATGACATGCTTTTCGAAATAAATTTATAAATGCTCAAATGAAAATACATTGTTTGCCGACGACGCTATGAATTGTTATAACTAATGTTTGGTTTAGAAGAAAAATTGAAGATTATATTCTACGACGACTTGTTCGTTTGTACTTATTTGCGTGAAATTTTCAAATTATATAGAGCTTCGTTGAAATTCTTTCGCAGTTTTGATTTTAAATCATCTGTTTTTTTCAACATATGATTTAACATATTTAATCAATCCTTATTATTCAAAGGACTACAAAGAAATGTATTTTGCTAGTTATCGTACTTTCAAAAACTTATCGCCAACGGTTGGAGCCTGGAGGACTTGGTCTCAGACCGCACAGCGAATTTATTTTGCCAAACACAGTGCTGCCACACGTTAAATTGGTCCCCACCAACAAAGTTATCCGACACTTGTTTATGTCATTTAACAATTGCAAATATACACACGCCCAACTTGCTTCAAGTCGGTTCATGGGTTCGTATGACAGAGTGCTACCAAGTTGGATTTTTCGGCCTACGATCCGTGTGGACCGGTCCGATCAACTCAATAGTGTTATTCATATATATTTCAAAGACAATGAATTTGTACTTGGCAAAAAACATTAATGAGAATATCTACTTTTTTCAATTACTGATTAAAAATTGATGAGTTAGCCTAGCCCAGCTCATTTAGTTCACAATATTGATGGTTACGGGCTAGATTGATCTACAAATTTTGAAGACGGTTCAAACTAAGATAGGATCATATTTTGAGACACACTAGTATAGGCCTTGAGCAAGGCCTACATACACGCGAGTCAGTTTTTAGGTCAAGACATTCATTTTGGTAACTCTAATTGAACCGAACAATATCAAATAAAAGTAATTTAATTTCCTAAATTTACATTTTAATATGCATTCTTATTAGGAATGACAATGGAGTGAATAAACCCTTTTGTACCCCCTGCTCTATCAAGAGTTTTTGAAAGCAGGCGTAAGGATGGAACATTATGAGAATTAAAATATCTTCATGAAAACTCGAAGGCCAAGGCGGGAACATGACATTTATGTCCTACCTAACACAAACAATGCTACTGTTATAGAAAAAATTCTGTAAAAATAACAAAACACACACATGGGGGGTGGGCCCCATTTTTATAATAATATTTTATTCACATGGGGCCCACCCCATATGAGTATTCTGACATTTTTACATTTGAAATAGTTTTGTACAAGTGGTTTAATTGACCTAGGGCCACATGTGAATATTCTGATGAAATAGTTATGTACAAGTGGTTTAATTGACCAAACACTTATCCAAGTATTCCACAAATATGCTAGAATCTTACTGGGTAGCTTCGATTTCATTGTTGTGAACCATTCAAATTTGCCACATATCAATTACCCAACATCTCAAACTCTTATCAGGTTAAGTTCTTCTGAACTGGACCAGTCAAAAGGTGACACGAGCCTTCGAAAGCTCTACATCATATTTCCCAATATGAACCACCAGAATATCTGACAATATCAATTTATGGTAAACACAAGTACTATCTCCATTCTTTTTTAAAAAATAATAATAATAATAATACGCATACTCGTTTTCAATCATATTTTAACTACTTATTTTCCAAAAAATCACTATCTAAAACAATATTTTTTTCTAAAAAAGGTCGCCAAACAGGGGCAACATATTTTGCCACATTCAAACAAAAAAAAAAAAGCACGAAGATAATTTGATTATTCGTTATCTTGAAAGTAAAAGTGAAATCTTAAAAACCCATGATTGGTGGGAATTATTTAGTAAATTTTAGTAGAAATTGATGACATGTTTGATTTAAAGTTGTGTATCCCATGAAATGTGTGGTTAAAATTAATTATTGACTTTAACTTGGATTAAAAATTTGATTTTAATTTCTACCAAACTAAGGCTTAATTTGAACAAAGATTTCTCGTACTTGAAGCGAAATTGCCTGTTCTATTTTTTGAAAACGAATCATTTGATAAAAAATTAAAGTATTTGCCATAAAATAGAATTAGAAAATAATACAGTTTTTAGCACGTGTTATATAAGTGGGTTTATAATATTAAAAAATAAAAAGTGATGAACTGTCGACTTTTGATTATTGACTAAAACACATGATTGAGGCACAAATAAATAAAAAAATCCCAAATCAATTATTGACATCAGATCTATTGATCATCAGTGGTGTAAAAGTTGGATAAGATGGATTCAGATTGGTGATTGGATTGAAAAAAATTGATAACCAAACTAAACTTTTGGACTGAACTCTGGTTCAATCGAAATATCATGATTTGATCTGCCAAAATTGCATATGTATAAGAATTGAGACAAACTAGATTACCAAAGGAGTAACGCTACATTTATGCACTTGGTTCACATTCACTTTCACATCCCTCTCACATAGGGAGTGGGGCCCGCAATCTTAAAAATCATGAGCCCCACACCCTATGTGAGAGGGATGTGAACGTGAACAAATGTATAAAAATGAAAATATGGTATAAATACAAAATAAATATTTTTTCTACAATTTATATCGATTTATCCCCAACATGTTCACGTCCTATTTTCTTCAAAAAAAAATTATGCGTCGACACGTTTGTCCCCTGTTTTCGTGTTTGTGATTCTTAGTTTGTGAAAAAGAGGAGATAAGAATTGGCAAAAGGAAATATATCAATTTCCATGAAGAAATATGTGGTAGAACAAGAATTCCAATATTCCAATCTTTAATATTGTCAAATAGAATCGATGCCCTCATCCCCCACCACGCACATTAAAAAATTCTTGCAATTATCCATTGATAATTTTCAATGACAGACGGTTCAAAAGTGAAATAATTACATCATGCATGAAACCTTACAAATGAATTTGGACAGTCCAATTTTTAATTTTCTGAATGTAGGATTTTATTCTAGTCCAAGATTTACAGTTAGTTTAATGAGTGAAGGAAAAATAATTATATGATAAAAGTTTATTTGCAACAAAAAAAAAAAGGCTAAGTCATCTTGGAGATTTTAAGGATTCCCCTAATTGAGATTTGCCTTTAGGGCCCTTGGTCCGGATGTAAAGTCGATATTCGTCAAAAGTCATGGCTGAATACAGTGCGGGTCGATCTGATGTCACAAGTTCCTTAGCTGGTTGTATCAATAAATCACTCTTAGGATTATAGAAATAGGCAAGCGAGAGACGTTCCTGATTTGAATTAACAATTACTCGATGTTCAACACTCTTGTAAATAGCGTTACTTAGGACCTGTTTTTGTAAAACAAACAAAATTCAGAATTAGTTATACGTAAATCAGGGAGTACATTATGCAATTTCTAATGATTAAAGACTATTCAAAAGTGACGAAATTTACTAGCGAATTAATAAAAACAAATTGTCTTTAAATTATGGGTCCATTTCAAAATTCTTAATAATGCCGTATTGTTTTATTATTTATATATCTATCGACTAGTTGACAAGTTGGAAGGCTCAATAAACGCACGTTTTTCATATAATTACGTGTTTTCAAACACATGGCCTACCATGTGCCCTTGGTTTTGTGAATACTAACCCAACTTTTCCTTCCAACTGCATTGTATTAAATATTTAAACAGTACATCACAGGTCTCGCGTTCATTTTTTTTTTCATTAAAGCCTCATCAGTGTACAATTCTATGAAATGAGTGTACTTAGCTGCTATACTATTTAAATATTGACTTCAATAATTATGAGCGGAAAAAAAAATGTGCACAAAAGATGAGAGTAAGCACCTGAATCTGATCGCCAATATTGACAATAAAAGCGTGCGGGGCTGGCTTAACTGTAATCCACCCGTCATTTTTACGAACCTGGAGCCCTGGTACGTTGTGATCGGGCAGGAGAAAGGTCATTCCACCCGGATCCGAGTGTGGGGAGAGGCCAAGAGCGAGATCCGGTTGTGGACATTTGGGGTAGAAATTGACTCTCAAACAAGCTCCAATATCATCTCCCCCAAACGCATTTTGAAGAAAATTTTCTTTCAAGCCGAGATTAATGGACAAAGCCTTTAATAAAACCCCACCTAGCTTCACCACTTGCTTCGAATATTGGTCAATCACTTCCCTACATTAATTTATTAAACATGAAGAACTTAATTAATATTAATTATACCACTTATTAAATAAACACTATATTCGAAATCATGTTAATCAACATCGACATAAAGTAATTAACCGAGCAGACTTAATTATGACCATTTAATACGTCGTACCACTTGGCACCTTGTACACGCATGTATAATTAAACAGTGATGAAAGTACCCTAAATTGTATTATCAAACATTTGTGAAGAGTCATAAGGGTTATTTTGGAGTCTTCTGAGAAAAAACAAAGTGAGGCAATGAAATAGTATTACTATAGTCACGAGATAAACGAACCTAAAACAAGCAAGAAAAGTCGGATTGTCTAATCATATCGAGTACCTGAGGGGTGTGGGAAGAGCAGGCCACTTGTTATAATCCCTCAACGAGCAAGGAAGATAGTGAAGAAAGAAATAATCACTCCAGTCAAGAATGGCACCCTTTTCGACCCCTAATCGACTCCCGTAGCCTTCATAAGTCTTTGGTGAGTTTCCATAATCTTGTTTCACTTCCAGAGGTTGATGAAAAAATTCACGCCAAACTTCCCTAGCTCGATCCATCAACTCGGGACTCACTTCATGGTTCACTACCTGGAAAAATCCCCACTCCGAACATGCCTCGTATACTTTGTTTAACGTGATGGATTCTAGGTTGTCACCACCATTTAAGCCGCCGAGGTCTATTATAGGGATGTTGGCGGTGGTCGAATCGAACGAGGGCCGAGCAGATGGCGCTTTGACATATCTATCGGGTATGGCTATTATGCCACTGTCTGATAAGGATTGGACTCGGATTATTGGCTCAGGCCAGTCACGTGGGCAGTTCATTTCACCAAGTTTTCAAGAATTTTCCTAGCTATTAAGACCAGTACGATGACTTCTTTATAGTAGAATCCGGTGGCGGTCGTGGGGGTGTGGCTGATTGGGTTTGATTTTTGTGCCCAGTTCGCTGGGAGTTATAGATGCCTGTTGCTTATAGAAATTGACGTGAAGAATTGGTGAAGTATGTGTGTGATATATATGAGGATAAAAAGATGGATTTAGCCTCTTCTATTTATAATTGTGTTTTAGGTTGTAAGGTAACATGTTAAACCCTTCTATCTGACAGTGCCGACATGAAGAATTAGGAAACGTTTTTCATGCATAGGTCGGGTGAATTTTCATATGGTGACACTTAACTTTCAACATCATAGTTGGGTCCGTACTAAACTTATATTTCGTTTTAAGCAAGTCACTAACTTCAGTATAGTTTCAAAATTAACCACACCATGACAAACTCCCAAACTAATAAAAATTGCTTAATTGTCCACACCCCATGGGTATTGTTACCATGTGTAATGCCAACTGACCACTATGCCATGTCATAAAAGTGTTAAAATAGAATATCTAGTCTAGAGAAGTGTTATTTGGAGGGATCTCTGTTACAAAATAATAGTGAATAAATACCGACTAAACAAATACCGGATGGGCAACTAGCTTACCGTATGAAAAGAAATACCGGATGGACACATACAAGATGGACAACTAACTTATTGTATGAATAGAACACACATTGCAGTGCAACTAACTTACATTATGAATAGAACACATACCAACGGTGGAACTAACTTATGAACAAATACTGATTGGACAGCTAACTAACCAATGTTAGCCAAAATATTACAAATTAAATAATTTTATGAATCACAATAAAAAGAACAAAACAAGTAATAAAAATTGTAGGAAATAAAAATCCAATGAACTTTGAGACCGAAACTTGTGTGAACACAGATTCCTTAAAACAGATTTGTCCCATCACCGTAGGTGTTTGAGGTTTAATTCGAGTGTCTGTTGCCCAAGATAATACAGAAAACAAGTTTGAGCACTGCAAATACTACTCCAACGAACTGACTCAGTATCTGAACATTATCATCATCAAGACTTTGACAGAAAAATTAAAATTACGGATTCAGACAAGAGAATACTAAAATATGCAGAGAAAAAAAATCAAGTATTTGTAAGGGAAGAAGATGCCTAAATAAATAGATTGTAATGGAGAATTGACCACCATTAACCCGACTGTTAATCTCTCCATTAACACAGACATAATCACATGAGTTTCACGAGTTAAAAGAATTTGAAAAGTTTTTTTTTAATTTGGAAAAATAATAAAATAAAGGAAAATGTGGATCCTTCTTAAGGGCCAATTTTTGGTCCATTCATTCCGACGCTTGTATACGCAGGTCGTTCCCGCATACAAGTTCAAGGTCCTAAACCTTTTTCAGTCTGTGATTTGCACCCCATGCGTGTGCATGTGAAGAGAGCGTCCATTCTACACATGATTACATTCTTCTAATGTGTAATCATATTTAAAGTGGTCGTTGCCTTTATCCATTTTTCTATGTGGGATTACTTTAACTAGTTTCCCACAAAATCTCTTCCAATTCATCACTTTGAGCTACACTTTTTCATTCATCCGAGCATCAATTTTTACAA